CAGTTAAAGACATGTGCAGCAGTATGCTTGGCTAAATGTATCTTTACAAAGGTTCCTCCTCAAAACTTAAGTCAATCCACTACTCATGACTTTTGCAAGCTTGGTTGTGCTTTTTCATTATGCACCAATATTAGCACATTACAAGACGCAGGTAATTAATCTCTCTCTCTATATATATAAATTTATATATAATATATATATATATATATATATATATATATCTCATTTATTTATTTATTTATTGTCAGGGGAAGAAAAAGTTGAGACTTGCGTGGATTCCTGCTCAGAAACATGCGGCAAGAATTACTTATTGCCTTAAAAAGACATAATAGTTAGGCTAGTAATAATGTTACTGTGTCGAGTAGAAATTACTTGTTTCATTTTTATTTCATGAAATTAATTTGATATTGAATCTAATTAAAATGAATGATTAAGTTAACCTGCACTGTGAGTGCTTCCCCTTGTTTGCACTTCCATTTGAATGCTATCTTTTGTTACAGGTTTCAAAACTTCTATAGTATTTGGCTTGATTCAATAAAATTAATAATGCTGAAAAATAGAATTGTTGGGATGATGACAATATTCCCAATGCGGGCTGTCAATAAGAGGGACAATAAATATTATCCATAAGAGGGACGATAAATATTGTGTCCAGAACAATATTTCTGAAGGCATGAAGAGCCCTATTGTATCATCAATAAGGTAAATTTCAAGATTTAAAAATATTTTCAATTATTTCTTAAAATTTGCAAAAGAAAAAAAAAAAAATCAAAACTAAACTCAAAGCATATAGCACGAAAAGAAAAATAAAAGAAGAAATTACCATTCCCATTGGGATAGAAGGAATTGAAGGCCTCTTGGAGCTTGAATAGTTCTTCAATGCTTTCTGTGCTAACTAGTTTAATTAGTTTGTTTAGTTCAACCATTTCTTTGTTTGTGAGGTTTTTTATAAAGATCAATACAAAAAAATAAAGGGAGAGACAAAAGATGGTAGCGAAAGAGAGTTGAGAGAGGTTAGAAGCACAAATGAAAAACGTTAAAGATTTGAGAGGGAGAGAGAGGAAGAGACGAAAAGCCAGTTCCATCTCTGAAAGGATAATTGTAACAATTGAGAGTAACAATAGTATTCATTAGAAAATTAGTTTTTGATGAACAAAATTGAGAAAAAAACAAAAGAAGTGTATTTTTAAAAACAAAGAAAAAATGTTACAAAGTGACCTTATTCGATAAAAGGTAAATAGTTACCAAGTCCTAAAAAACCATTCCTTCTATTTGGACATCCCCAATTCAGCTCTTCTCTTGTGGCCAAGTTGGGTTTGACTTATTCATCGTTGATGTAGTCCAATCACAAATGTATAAATAGTCGATAGTTACAAAATTAGGAAAGAAAAGTGATAAATAAAGATAATAAATTTTTTTTGAAATAAATTCACTCACCCTCTTTGATTTTTTTATTTATCAGTTTCTTAATTTTGTAATTGTTAACTATGATTTTGTAATGGATAATACTGGTGAGGACACATTAAGAATAATTAGGATGACATACTCACGGTGAATAAGCAACCTTTATCCTTTAACAACAAACAAAATTGTTGGGGGTGTAGTTTATGTGGAGGTTTAGATTGCTTTTTAAGTTTGGTCACTATATTTTAATTTAAGGACGCTATACATTTTTCTTTTGCAATTTATTTACCAAAATTTAACTATTTTAATATTTAATTATGAAATTAGAGTTAAAAGTGTCATTATCTATTTTCAAATTAAAGTGCAATTGTAAAGAGGGGAGTGCAAATATTATGTTTTATATAATTCTAACAAAGATTTTTTTTTTTTCTTTTAAATATATATATATAAATGGACAGAGTCACAACCCCCACAGGATTTTTTATTTTTTGCATTTTATATTTTAAATTTTTAAGAATTTATGAATATGTCTCCACTAAAATTATAATTCGCCCCCACTTTTTTAACATTTTATACTTCAAATTTTTGAGAATTTATGAAAATACCGCTACAAAATTAAATTTCACCCCAATGAAATTCTTTTTTTACATTTTATACTTCAAATTTTTTTAAATTTATTAAGATAAACTTACTAAAATTATAAAAATAAACCTACTATATAAATTTGTCGCCAAAAATTAAAAATCCTCCTTTTACAAAATTTTTGGGGTATATATATATATAATCTACAAATTGTGTGTTCCACTTATTTATAATTTTTTAAGTCAATGTTAGCCCAAGAATTTAATGTTCTGACTTTATAGCACAAGAAAATAAGGAGATTATTGAAAAATCTATCATAATTATGGATATGAAGAATCTAGAACATTGAAACTTCCAAAATCCTACGCAGACATTAACTTGTCCTCATCCAAATCTCCAATGTCATAAAATGGACACGTGTCAGTCACCCACAGAAAAAGCCTGCCACTCATTTCAGCCCCCAGTTTTTCTCGTGAGCTCCACCGGTTAAACCTCTCTCATAGCCGGTAGTTTTCCAACAGCCATCGGATTCCAAAAATCCATTAAACAAATCCACAAAACCAATCTCTATCCAACACGCTATATCTATATATATATATACACGACACCTAAAAACTAAATCCCAAATTATCATTTCTTTAAACAACCTTCAGATCTATTCCTACTATAGCGGTCATCGTTTTCTTCTTTGTTTACATATATATCTTAGCTTGAGAGAGAGCTTGGTTTTCTTCATTGTTTAGGCAATTGGGTACTGTTGAATTTGGAGTGCAAACATATACTGTATTTCTTTGTTTAGGCAATTGGGTATTCTTGAATTTGGAGTACGAACATACATATATATTTATAATATATATGAGTTCGAGGTTTATGAATAGAGTGTTGCAGGGAATGAAAGACCAGGTTTTGAAGTGTGACAAGTCTATGAGGGACTCCAATTGTGCTTCGTCTTCAAAACAGGCGAGGTGGTTCTCTGGTGGTCTTGATTCGAATGCTTTCATGGCTGCCAAGAGTGACAAGTTAAAGCAAGCTGAAGAGTCTCTCCGCACTGTCATGTACTTGAGCTGTTGGGGTCCCAATTGACACCGATCACAGTGACACAGCAGAGATCATCAAGTGTTTTTCTTTGTTTGTAATATCTACTTTAGAAAAACAAAAAAATTGAGAAAGAGTTGTAATGGCCCTGTTGGGTTTGTGTAATATGTTTTTATATTTGTGTATATATAATATTTTGTGTATTAATTTTTCAGAAATTGACTTTTTCTGGGGGGTGAAATTTTGATGTGCTTGAGTTTATCTTAAAAACCATTTAATTATATTTCCAAGTTCTATGTTTTGTTCCTCACTGGGAGAATGTAAAGAATTCAAGATCCGGTAATAACATAGCTAGTTAGGGAAAAAGATTATGATTTAAATAAGATAATAGAATTGAAAAATTATTTACTAATTGCAATTCAACGACCAGAAATAAATGATTTTATTGAATTTTTGGTCTTAGATGTTGGGTTTGAATGGATTGGTAATCTTGTAGCCTCATCTGGTTTCTGGAAGGCTACCTTGTGTTTCATATTTGATTTGTGCGGCCGGTTGTTGGCCCCACCGACATTGGCGATAAGGCTATCTTGGGTTTCATATTGATATGTGGGGTCGGTTGTAGGCCCCACCTACATTGGCGATACACGGCCAAGATGCCATATAGTCTAATAAAATAATACTAATAATATATTTTTTTTTAGGAGTACTACAATGAAATGAAGGCTATCACCGTGAATTTAATTTTACAGCTGTTGATTTAATAACTTTTTACTCCTTTACGTCAGCTCGCGTTATTATCATTTATCCATTCCGTGTAAGATTAAGTAAAAATATAGAAACCGAATTAACAAATTGAACCGTAGTTATTCCTCACCAATCAAAATTGATCAATTTTATTATATAATACAATATAATATACTTATATTTATTACTTAGAGGTTTAGTTTGGTTTGATTCTTTTGAATTCCAAATGGGAACGTAACCATAATGAATGAAATTTTAAAATTAGAACCAACTGTACAATTTTGTTCAGTTTAATTTGATTTATTGGTTCTAAATTTTTTTTATATACCCTAGAACTGATATTGTTTTCAGGCTAAAAAGTGTAAAGCCTCCTAAGAGGTCTTTTTCATAGAAAGATTTATAAGTTCTCCTGTGTTTTTTAACGTAAATACAAGAATTAATTGAATTGGTAAGGCTGCCTCTAAGGGTGGCCACGGATTTGATTCGGTATCAATTTATGGTATCAAGTCTAATTCAATTCCTTGGCAATGAATTATCAAGTCTAATTCGATTCCTTCCCAATGAATTAAATTTTTTTTTTTAATTAATCACGGATTCGTTATTATTCATTATTATTTTTATAATTAATATTACTACGTATTTATTTATTTTTGAATCATAATTCAATAAATAAAATTTTAATTTATTAATATTAATTCATATATTTAAATAATTATTAACTAATACATATCATTAACTAATATATTTTTTAAAAATATATAAATATATATAAATTATATAAATTGGTCGAATTTTTAACAGTTTAATATGTGAGTTAAGAATTTGTGAGTGTACCAATCCAATTTGATTCGCACAAACAGTTCAATCCATGAGTTAAGGATTTGTGAATGTACCAATCCGATTTGATCTGCACAAATCTAATATCGAATTCGCGAATTATTTATCTACCACTGCCGGAATAGAAACGAAACGTTCTTATTTATTGAATCTATTAAGTGAGTTCACGGGAATTAGTGTTTTTATTCATTGGATCAATCATGTGAGCTCGCATTCTTATCACTTGAATTGACTTCTTAACACTATCATGAAAGTTAATTCAATGGATAAAATTGCAAGGTCACCGTGAGCTCATCTTCATCCTCACTATTTTCCTTTTAATTTTTATTTTATTTTATTATTATTATTATTATTTTTATCCAAAACTCTATCTCCATCTCCACCACATACTAAGAAAGCATTAACAAGTACTGCCTTAGACCTCTTTTAGATGCTCTGCTCCTTTTTCTATCTTTCATGACCTCCAGCTCCAAAAACCCCCCACAAACTCTTCCCTGAAAAAAAGAAGGTAGTATGAGTGCACTCAAACCTTTTGAGGGCTATTATCAATCAGCATTCCTACCCAAGTATTCAAATCATCAAAACCTCATAAAACCACAAACAAGACTTGCACCAGGCAAGTTTGCTCAAAAAAGAAAGCTTGCTATGAGAGCATCTAATGGTGAAGGAGAAAAAAGGACTCAAAGGCAGAGTTTCTTGACTCTTGAAGAAGCTGGTCTTGTCGAAATCTCCGGTCTAAGCACCCATGAGCGATTCCTATGTCGATTAACAGTATGTATTTATGATTTTGTTGGACACACAACTCTAGCTTCTAAGAAAATTTCAGTGTCATCATGTTTTGAGGTCTAATATAGGATATATGTTTGTGTATTGTATATACAGATATCGTCTCTGAATCTACTGAGAGTGATATCAGAGCAGGAAGGGTGTCCAATGGAGGAGCTGAATGCGGGGAGGATATGTGATTGGTTTATGAAGGACAAGCTCAAGAGAGAGCAGAACTTGGAGTCTGCAGTCCTTCAATGGGATGATTCTGATTTCCAGATTTGAGCTCTTTTATTTTATTATTATTATTATTATTTTTTTTGGGTGGGTATTAAATTGACAACTTGGTGGATGATACTGGATTTTTGACCCTTATCACTGTAAGTTTGTCCCACTTCGTGTGAAGCCTTGAAATCATTTGGCCCTTATAATGTCTGGACATTGGAAGCACTTCTTAAGCAATAACCACTTAAACAGTGTTTGTCCTACGTAACAAAGGACTTTCAACAATGTTAGCTTATTAATTGAAGGACTATTTCTTTTTGTGAACTATGTAAACATCATTCATCACTTTCTTCTCCACCTGATTAGCCTTAAAAGATTAATTAGTTACTACTCATTAGGTTTTGCCTTATCTTTTTGTACAGTCGGAAAAAAGGAGGAATGTTGCGTTAAGTAACTTGACCTTAAAAGGTTCAACTTTTCTCAACACGAACACATCAACATGAGCTACATCATTAGATTTTCCGGGGAAGGTTTTTCATCCTAGGTTTTTCATCTCGCATGTTAATGCTTGTTCGGCTACAATTGATAAGATGGGAGGGACAATTTTTGTGCTCTCTTGATGGTGATGTGGCACATATTCTGAATGTCAAGCAACAATTTTGCTTCTGTACATCAACATATGCTATTGGAAAGGATGGAAAGCTGAAAAATGCTGCTATTCTGTGGGCTTTGAGAAAGTAATGTAGAGCCAAATCGCGATGCAGATGTAATATATTGACTATAATTTTGTTTTGACATGAAAGCCATGTAACTGTCTACAAAAACATTTGTGAATTGCGACACCTCACCAGGTTGAAACAAACCTGCTTTACCCTGTTTGCACCATGCCTGCATTGCATAAAAACTAGAGCAGATAAAATTGCTGATGCATTCTCAATATTATGGTAGGATGACCTTTCTGGACAAACATAGCAAGGCAATGGTAAATTTAGAAATCAGGGTTCTGAAATGCTTTTGGTTTCCCAAAACTGTTGTCTTAGCCAAATGATTTACTGTTCTGCCCCTCCTTATGTATAGCTCCATATTATCACCTCCTCTTCTACTACACATTTACAGAAAAGAAGCTATATCTTCTATCTTCTAGCTCAATAGAGTCTGAAAGTTCTTTGAAAAGTTTTACAAAATTGAGCAAAAGATGGGTTATCTTAGTAGAGTTTTCAAGTCTGCCAGTGTTGCTGTGGTGGAAGGCCAAGCTGACCAATGCTCCAAACATAACTCTGGCCTTAGATCACTTCAGCACAGCAACAACAAGGACTTTCTCTAGTGGTGGCATGGCAGAATCCGATAGAGGACTTCTTGTTGGGAGTGGTGAGGGAGACAACAAAAGAGTACATGTCGACGAGTCTCTTCAGAACGTCATGTTCTTGAATTGCTGGGCGCAAAGCTAGTGAAATTGTTGACCATAGTTTTCACAAGGGATTTGTGTTCTTGGCTGATCAATCTGCATGATTGCCAAAACTGCAGTAAAGATTGAACATCATTGGGACGAGGAAGAGGAGGAGGCGTACAACAAAACTGTCTACACTTACAAGCAATCATTTTTGCATATGTAAAAGCTCTGTGAATTGGAAGTCTTGTTCTACAAGTATCTTATGCTCTTTTTCTGTCTATAAATGAATTATGTTTGCTTTTCGTATCTAACAAATACAAGATAATGGTTGTTTGGGCATCTTTTCTATAACTGAACTTTATGATATATCTGAAGAATCTGTCCTTCACACATATAGTCTAAAACAACTTAAATATTAAAATCAGCTCTAACATGTTGGTTTCTATGCTCTTAATTATCGTAATATCAAATCCATTTTCTTTGAAAACTTTGGCGATGCTCATAAAAGGGACCATTATTTGGTTTCATGGTAAAAAGTTCATGGAAGTTGGTTCAGTATTAGAGTAGTCACTACGTTTAAAGCAACCTCGAATTAGGTCTATCTCCAATCTTGCCTTCTAATGCTCTCAAGTCTTAAGGAGCAACGTAATTTGCACTGATCCACTTCGGATATGGTCCAACAATTTACTTGCTGGACTTTAAAGCTTAGCAAGTCCAATGTCTGGGGTTCTAGTTCCGCTGGGTGTTCTTTGTGGCTAGCCTCTGCTGCCCCTTATAGTGACTTACCGGACCCAGATAGAGAGACGCCCTTCTGAATCCTCGAGAATTAATCGGGTTGTTGAAGGGCCCAAAAGGCTCGTGCCATCCCGGATTTAAAAAAAAAAAAAAAGAAAACCTAATTTGCACTGTCCCTGCCTTCAGTTATTTCAATGTTAAAAATAAAAGAAGTTATTCTTTAAGCTGCTTTTGCTTTCACCTTTTTCTTGACGGTTACATGAAAACAACAGGTTTGTGACTACAACCTAGGAAATTCATTCTGTTTTTTTTTTTTTGAAAGGCAAAGTAAATTTTAGGGTAAAGTGCTATGACCCCCTTAATCTTTCAACAAAAAACACAATACCTCCCTAAACTAAAAAATACTCCCTAATCTATTAAAAATGTATAATTTAAGGACAAAATGAATAATCTCTGGCATTAGAGATTACCGGAGATATTTGATTACAAAATTAATCTTTTATAAAAGGACGTTGTTTTAGTGTTTGATTGGCTCCTATTGCTGATGTGTCAATCAAATTGTGAACAACCAATAATATTTGGACAACTCATTATCACTTTACCAAAACTTCAACGCCAAACAGAGTCAACGCCGAACCCAAAAATCAACCAGTCCATTGCAACTGAATAGAATAACCCTGAAAGTGAAGCTTTGAAACCCTAACTCATCCATAGCAACACCAGCATAGCTACTGTACGAACCTCCCCCCTCCTTCCTCTTTATCTCTCTCTTTTGTCTAACCTTCTCTTCCCCTCTCTTTCCTTTTCATGGCCGGCGATGGAGGCACTGCTCCGGCAGTGGTCATCGGCGTCGCGAAAAAGCGACCGCAAGGTCGCGGCTACGTAGTTGCATCACAGCTTGGAAAGGTCGACTTCATGGCGACCCATGTCCAAAACTACTGCTCGGCGACCTTGTGTCACCGCGGTACAAGTCTCCAAGTCATCGGACGGCGAAATTACCTATCGTGAAGAGTAGCGACCTTGGGTCGCGAGTTGAAGAAGGTTGCATCGCTGGTCAACAACCCAATAATTTTAGAGAGGGACGACGATCATGGGTTGCCGTCCATGGTAGTTTCTGGGTGGCGCTCCGGCGACCTAGTTATACGAGAAGATGGCAGCGACGTGAAGGTCGCTGCTCGGTTGAAAGCATCGGGTTGCTGCTCTTTGCGGTGACCATAACTCTGCACTGTACCATCGTTAATTGTCGAAGGAGGAAACAGGTCGCCGATGGTTGAATGATCGGTTTGGGGGTTTATTACTCTCTCTCTCTCTCTCTCACTAATAAGGGCAAAATTGCCATTTAAAATTTACAGCACAGGCCACTTGCCTCACATGCCTCTTTCACAAATAAAATCAAACGGAAAAGTGATCCCTAGGTTTTTTCGCAAAAAATAAAAATAGTTTAGGGAGTTTTTTGTCAAAAAAAAAAAAAAAAAAAAAAAAATTTAGGAGTGTTTTTAGAAAGAGAGAGTAAAATTCAAGGGAGTTATATGCACTTTATCTTAAATTTTATAAATAAGATAGAATGTGCATTGCGAAGTCCGAGAAAGGCTAAGTGTTGGATCCAATACATAAACCAACCCTGGCCCAAAAGTGAAGCCCAACAAAATAGTCCAAAAACGAAGCCAATGAAGGCACTGTGACAGTTACTCTCAAATCCGGAAAAGCAGCTACTGGTGAAGCAACAATCTTTTGTTAAATGCTAGTCAACAAAATCATGATATTCATAGCAAGTCATGTTGTAAGTCTTGTGACTTGGCATGGGGTCTTGAAAAGTCATGATTATAGATAATTTAGTTAATCTTTTTCCCTCCTCTGATCAAGAGTGGCATTGGGATTGATGATAGTGTACACCAAGTTTAACTTTGTGGATCCAACTATTTAAGGTATTTTGATCATTTCTATGCTTGTTATGTTACTTTAATACGTGGATATTTATTTATTTATTTTATAATAAAATAATGAACCAAGTGAAAATTTGTGTTCTTGTTATGTGTGTTCAATCTCTTTCTTATATTTTTTTTGTTTAATTCGAAATATAAATATTGACATCTCAACAATTTTATTTTTCAACGTTCATAATTTGATTGAAGACCTTTACTATAAAACTGTTTGAATCTGCAACACAATATAACATTTAAGTGGAAGTGCAAATGAAATGAAGCACTCATAGTGCAAGTTAAAATTGCCATTCACTTTAGATTCAATATTAAATACCATGAAATAACAATAAAACAGGTAGTTTCTACTTGACACAAAAACATCATTACTACTACTAGTCCAACAACAGTTTCCTTAAGGTAATAGGTAATTCTTGCCGCTTGTTTCTGAACAGGATTCCATGCAGGTCTCAACTTTTTCTTCCCTTGACAATAAATAAATGATATATATATATATATATATATATATATAGAGAGAGAGAGAGAGAGAGAGAGAGAGAAAGATATAGAGAGAAAAATTAATTACCTGGGTTTTGTAACATCAAGATATTGGTGCATAATGAATAAGCACAACCAAGCTTGCAAAAGTGATGAGTAGTGGATTGACTTAAGTTTTGAGGAGGAACTTTGTTGAAATGCATTTAGCCTATCATAATGCCGCACACGTCTTTAACTGAGGGGGAATACTGCCGCACACGTCTTTAACATGGTAAATGAAGCAAAATATTTACCATAGCATTTTGGGAATTTCCCAATAGAGGCATTACACTACCCTACAAACAACTCCAAAACAAACACTACTACAACTGCCCTTAATTTCCCCCCCTCCATCTACTCTCTATTGAATTATGATCTTGATAGCTGTTAGATTACAATAAATTACACATCTCCCATGTGCTCTAAGAATGGTATATATAATGTTGGACCTTAATTTGACGGGTTCTTAAAAATTCTTTATTGCATAAGTTTTCTATTGGGCCTATTTATTTTTATGTTAGTGGCCTATTTATTTTGATTTTATTGGACCTCTTTATTCTATTTAATTTGGCTATTTATGTGATTTATTGGGTTTATTTAATTTTGATATTTATGTAATTTATTGGGTTTGTTAATATAAATTCTCTACATTCCAGAATGTCATTATTTCAATGGCTTGTGTTATCAACTAATGTAACATTTTTTTTTTTTTTTTGCTCCTAGCTTTATCAGGTTAAGGTAACTTT